GCCTATGTGTGTGTATATGTGTGCGTAATATCAGCAGTGATGTTTATTGTAATCTTTAAAATTTAATTTGAAAAAGGCGACGAATCAATTCACTGTTCTTTTCAGAGAATTATTTTGTTTTGCTCCGTGGGAGATATGTTTCCTTTGGAGTTTAAATTCCTTCTTTAGGATAGCAGTAGGCCTATATACTAGGGATAGGCCTACTATTAGGATTTTCAATATTATATTTATGTTAAAGTGATTATGAAAATGTGAAAATGAGAAAAAGCATGTGAATGGTATGATTATGAATTGAGGTGATACTGTTATATGATTAAAAAAAAAAAAAAAAAAAATTAAAAAACATGGAAAAATAGACTTTGAATAAAGGTGGGCTAGACTACCCACGCATAAGAAATAGGCCTATTTATTATTATTGGCAATAGAGGGAACTGTAAATTCTAAAGTGTATACAGTAGTTGAACCAATTCTGGGGACAAACCTTCAACGGGACACCCCTGCATCTTAACATTACGTCCAAACCCTATTCATGAGGACATTTTATTAAGGTGACATTTATTTTTTTCCCGAAGGTGTCACGATAATAGCGGTTCTACAGTTATTCTATGTCTAACACATTCATATTTATCCATAACTGAGAGTGTTTTTGTTATGTAGGACTGTGGTTATTTGACATAGGCCTACCTTGACTTTGGACAGTGGGGCGTATGTTTTATTGATAAGCTTTAGAATAAATGAAAGTCCATCCTCTGTAAGATACACCTCGCTGTCTGGGTTTATCTCTTGATTAATATGTCGCACGTTAGAGGAAGCTTCCCACCCACTAGCGCTCATCACCTCCGTTAAGTACCAAGTGTAATTTTGTACCGTTGGTGCAGTCTGACAAACCTCCGTAAAACTGTATAGGAAGTATGTTAATACCACGCTAGCCCTTGGATACGTAGCATCCGTCAATCCCTCACTGTTATTGGCTTCTATTATCTCGAATAGCGTCTCAACTGATAAACACTAATAAAAAAAGAAGAATATAAACAATTTCCATTTTAGACCGATAATTTACGTGACGTTCATGTTTTTATACATCCATTAAATTATTGTAGCACTCATTAAAAATATTATTACCGATGTTATTATTCGTTTTGTCATATTCGTTATGTCAACTTAACTCTTTGTTTTAAAATATAATACCAGTTTAGACCAACGCAACACTGAAAATCATAATGCCAAATCCACTTTTTAAATATTCAAAAATTGTTGCCAGTCATTTGGGGAAAGGAGAGTCAATGCTTTCAGTGGCGGAACAATGAATTAAACATATAGGGGGCCCGGGGAGGGGCTTTCACAAATGGCGGATCTACCCCCTCAGCCCCACCATGGTTAGGGCTGAGGTAAGACAATTTATGATTATGGTACACTTTCAGACTTAAAATTTGAATATAATTTTCTTTTTATCTCCATTTTTTTTCTCGAAAAGTTAAGGATTTCATTGCCCTACTCTCGGTATGTAAAGGACAGTATTGTTGTAAGCTGAACAAATAACACACACACACACCCACACACACACACATATATAT